AGGAAGTGCCAACCTTTTTATGAAGGGTCACTTCCGGTTCATTTGAGAGCTTTTTGATTGGTGGATGGACCAAAGCAGAGGTGTGGTTTGTGATGTAAGGTGTTATGGAAAGTCAAGGATTGTTTAAGAATAGACAGAAAGATATCATGGAAAAACCAGACTTCGTGGCGTCGCTCACCAAATATCTTTCTGTAAAAGTTAAACATGACATTTCTTTTCAGTAAACTTCTTAGTTGACCGAAGCTTGAACTTTAACACACTTACAAATTTGCTCACTTTCAAAGCAGACGATCAAGAAATTGAATCATTACTCTGTAATGTACTCTAACTTGATTTCACTTTGAATTGAGGAATAAAAATCATTACTACTGTTTAAGTAAATAAAAATGAGTAGTTCACTTCAACATGTAAACATTGTTTGAACTAACACAATTTGATTATCAAAACATTTGTAAAATAGTAATGATCATAGAGAATTGTCTTTTCCACTTGATTAATTCAAGAGAGAAAGTCTCAGGATGGGTCAAACTGTATTTCTGGATTCAAATCAATGAAATGACAGTTTCTGTCCATCTGGTCAGTTTTGACATCAGGCTTAGTCCACTACACATGCTCAAAGAGGACCATCAGCCTAACAATGGATCATTAGCACACTGATGGCTGTTTACTATTCACAGAGGGCTGAGTGATACTAGCAATCACAGCATAGTAAGAGGGGGACAATTGAACACGTAGGCCTCCACCCCTGTTTAACGATGGACGGTTTCTTTTCACAAAGATGGCCTCCTTTACTCCTCTCTCAAACCATCGTTCCTCTCTATCCATGATGATGCAGTAGAGGTGGTCAGTTTAAAATTAAAATCAGACACTACTCTGAGCAGCAGGACCACGCTTTCCACAGAACAACTGTGTCAACTCTTGAAACTGTGCCTGCAGTCAACCTACTTCACATATGGGGAGCAATATTATAGGCAAAAACATGGGTGTGCTTGTGCTATGGGGTCTCCAGTTTCTCCTATTGTTGCCAACCTGTACATGGAGGAGGTAGAAAAGAGAGCCTTGATGTCCTTTTCAGGGACACCACCAAGTCATTGGTTCAGGTATGTTGACGACACCTGGGTTAAAATTAAATCTCAGGAAGTCCAACATTTTACTGACCACATCAACTCTGTGGATAAATACTTCAAGTTCACACGAGAAGATGAAAAAAATGGCAAGTTGGCTTTCTTGGACTGTGAGGTCTCAGTCTCTGATAGAGGACATTTGCAAACTGAGGTGTACTGCAAACCCACCCACACAGACCAATATTTGCAGTTTGACTCCCATCACCCTTTGGAGCACAAGTTAGGAGTCATCAGGACTCTGTATCACAGAGCAGACAGCGTCCCTACTAGCTCAGGAGCCAGGCAGAAGGAGAAATCCCACACAAGACAGGCTCTAGAGCAATGTGGATATCCTAAATGGGCCTTCCTAAAAGCAGAGAAGAAACCCAAACAGGACTCCAGTCAGCCAACAGGTGAAAAGGAGGAACCCAGACCCAGACCAGTGGTCATTCCATATGTTGAGGGAGTATCAGAGAAACTGAGACGTTTATTTTCTAAACATAACGTCCCAGTGGCTTTTAAACCCCAAAATACATTACGGCAAAGACTGGTTCATCCCAAAGATCCAGTCCCCCGGCACAAACAGAGCAATGTAGTGTATGCTGTTCAGTGTCAGGAGGGCTGTGATCAGTCTTACATCGGGGAAACAAAACAGCCACTGGCCAAAAGGATGGCCCAGCACAGAAGATCAACATCATCAGGCCAGGACTCTGCGGTCTACACTCATCTCCAGGCCAGCGGTCACTCTTTCAGGGATGAAGATGTTCACATCCTGGACAGAGAGGAACGACGGTTTGAGAGAGGAGTAAAGGAGGCCATCTTTGTGAAAAGAAATCGTCCATCGTTAAACAGGGGTGGAGGCCTCCAGGTTCAACTGTCCCCCTCTTACAATGCTGTGATTGCTAGTATCACTCAGCCCTCTGTGAATAGTAAACAGCCATCAGTGTGCTAATGATCCATTGTTAGGCTGATGGTCCTTCTTGAGCATGTGATCAGCTGGTTTTGGTTGTCAGCAGCAAAACTGGTTGATCCACTCTGAGACGGTGCTATTTAAGAGACTGAGCTGAATACAGCACCTCATACTGAGGTAGTCTCTCGGATGAGAGACAAAACGTTTCTACATTTTTTTGTTGTTTTGCTTTTTTTTTTTTTTTTTTTTTATGTCCAGAGGACCAGATTGAACTTGTTTAGATCCGAAGGGAGAGCTTCGCTTTGGAGTTATTCTCTATCTCTGCCCGGATCATTACCCGAATCCTTTTCTTCAAATTCTGAACAGCTGTTGGACCAGAGGCGGCCTCATTCAAGAGCGGGTGAGGTAATCTGCTTCTTACTGAGCCAGATTTTTCAGGAATTCTACCAAAGAGCTATGGTAAGAAGATGTCTCAAAGATATTGTCCTTTGTCAATCTACTTCAAATTAGAGCAGTAGCGTATAGGATTGTAAGCCGAGAGATTGATTACTTATTGGGTTCAATTGCTTGGGGTTGCCAAAGGTTCTTGGAGGTGGTGAGGGATAATATATATTGGATCGGGCTGTGAGTTGGGGGAGATTGTGGAGGTTTTTGGAGTGTTAAAGTGTTTCAGAAAGACCCTAGGGGCTCCTAGGGCATGGTCAGGTCTCCCCAACCCTCTTTTGGATCTGAGAGCCACTTTGCCAAGCTGACTGCTCAACCCCTGGAGTCCAACTAAATCTCTGAGCTACTTATTAATCACCATGTATCCTCTCTGTAATCAAATGTAATCACTGTGTTGGATTGTGCTTGCCGCTGTTCCTCCTGCAAAATCAATGATAAAAGCAAAGCAAAACGTAAAATTCTGGATTCTCATTTCAACATCCCTTTGTTCATGAAAGTGGAAAACTTGGTTCAATGTTAACAACAAGAGTCTGGGAGGTTTTTAAAGGTTTTGTAGCTTTTGACTATAAAATAACATCCATAAATCTTATACCTAGATTGTAAACAAAACCAGATCGGATGACAATTGTAACGCTAAAGAGGAGATGAGCAACCGTTAACGTGTGCTTCCTCATCTGCCAAACATCCCTACTCTTGTTGCTAGGTCGGGCGAGGCACGATTTGAGATTTTGGGTGTGGTGCAAGGATAGGAGGTTGTTAACAATCTGGGTGAATCATCTCAACACAGCCTTAGAATTAAACTGTCCTAAAAACAGCTGCGGGTAATACCTGAGTCTTAGGATTAGTTTCAGACCCCTTGGAGGGGAAGGCTGCAGTGAGGGCATGGCACATGTCCTATGCCTACCTCACTCGGGTAAGCGAAACATGTCACACAATGGAAATCTGGAAGAGAGTTGTGGAAGCTAGACTTAGACAAGAGGTGACAATTTGTGAGCTGCAGTGTGGTTTTTTTATGTAAAGAAAGAGCACCACAGATGTCATATTTGTTTTGAGAATGCTGATAGAGAAGTACAGAAAGGGTCAGAAAGAACTCCATTTTGTCTTTGTGGATTTAGAAAAAACCTATGACAGGGTGTCGAGGGAGGAGGTGTGGTATTGCATGAGGAAATATGGAGTGACAGAGAAGTATGTTAGACTGGTACAGGACATGTATGAGGACAGCAAGAAAATGGTGAGATGTGCTGTTGGAGTGACAGATAGCTTAAAGGTGGAAGTGGGACTGCATCAAGGATTGTCCCTGAGCCCCTTCTTGTTTGCTCTGGTGATGGACCGAATAACAGATGAGGTCAGGCAGGAAACCCTGTGGGCTATGATGCTCGCAGATGACATAGTGATCTGTGGTGAGAACAGAGAACAGGTGGAAATGAACTTGGAGTGGTGGAGGTATGCACTTGAAAGAAAAGAAACGAAAGTCAGCTGTATTAAGTTAGAGTACATGCATGTGAATGATAGGGAGACAGGTGGAACAGTGAGGCTACAAACAGCAGAGGGCACAAAGGTGCAGGACTTCAAGTATTTGGGGGCCACTGTCCAGGAAAATGAGGAGTGTGGTAAAGAGGTGGAAGAAGAGAGTCCAGGCAGGATGGAGTGGATGCCCAAAAGTTTCAGGAGTGATTTGTGATAAAAGGGTGTCAGCAAAGGTGAAAAGAAAAGTGAACAAAACAAATATGAGACCAGCTATATTGTATGGTCTGGAGACAGTGACATTGACAAAAAGACAGGAGAAAAATCTGGAAGTGGCAGAAATGAAGATGAGGTTTTCCTTAGGAGTGACAAGGAGGAATAGGATTAGGAATGAGATCATCAGAGGTACAGCAGGTTGAACAACTGGGAGATAAAGTTCGAGAGGCCAAACTGAGATGGTTTGAACATGTCCAGAGGAGGGACAGTGGGTATATTGGTAGAAGGTTGTTAGAAATGCAGCTGCCAGGAAAAAGACAAGAAAGAAGACCAAAGAGGAGATATATGGATGCAGTTAGAGAGGACAAAGAGGTGGTTGGAGTGAGGACAGAGGACACAGAGGACAGAGTGAGATGGAAAAGTATGACTCACTCTAGCGATCCCTGAAGAGGGAAAAGCTGAAAGAAGATCTAAAACATGATACAGTAGTAGCTGAGAGTCATCCTCCTCACATGTTGTGGGAACCAATTCCCTTTTTAAATTAGCTCATAAAAACTTTTTTCAGATTTGACTAAAATGGCTCCGTCATTTCTCGTCATACAATGAATGATATTTGTCTAAAGACAAAGCATGTCACCCACTGTTCTGAAAGGCAGCGAGTGATATGCTTTCTTTCTTTACTGTTAGGACTTTGTCTTGGAATGTAAAACCTCCGAAAGATTATACATTTATTTTTAAGAAGTTGTATAAGCTCTCATGTTGAAATGATCAAACAGGTTTGATCTAAATGACAAGCATGAAATTTGAAATAGAGACTGAGTTATAAAAAGAAGCACATGACTTGTTTTCTCTCCTTCCTTCAGATATGACGGCAGTTGGCTGTGACCTAAATGGGGCTCACTATGAGAATGGAGACGCTTTCCAACCCAGCCCCCTCTACAAGTGCACATGCATTGGAGGAGCAATTGGTTGTACACCTGTTTTCATCCAGAAGCCTGCTGGACTCTTGGGTCCCATCCCACTGATGGGCATCAGGCCAGCTGGCCTTCGCAGTGGTCAAAGCCCAAAGAAGCACCAGCAGGACACCACCTACAAACTAGGTGCGTACTAAAATTTATTTATGTTTATTTACTTTATGTAGCAGTATATTGTGTCAATCCACAACTAAAGGGATTGACACTATATGGGCACTTCCTATTATAACAATCGCAGAGTACATTAAAAATGCAGTTTAGTCAAATTTATCAAAGCCAGCAAATTGTGTTGAATCTCCATTTTGTCACAATCACCCATCCTGAGCAACACAATGGCAACAGTGGAAAGGAATAACTCTCTTAATATGAAGAAACCACCATCAGAACCAGAACTAGGCCCAGGTTGGCCTGAGGATCTGCCTCAGCAGGCTACAGTTTGAAAAGACGAGAGACACAATCAAAAACAGGTTAATGACGTAATAACTGCATGTAAAAACATGCAAATAGAGCAAATATAGACAGTATTGTGAGGAAATGTGATCAATTTGTTCTCCAGTAGTCTGTCTAGAGCAACATTACTAAATTATAGCTCCACAAAACCCAAGAAGACCCTGACTTTGGGATTTATTAAAAAGGAAAAGCTTAAGCCTTATCTTAAAAGCAGACAATGAGTCAGCCTCATGGACAGAAACTGGAAGTTGGTTCCACAAGAGAAGAGCCTAATAACTGAAAGTTCTGCTTCCCATTCTGCTTTTGGAAACTCTAGGAACCACAAGCAAACCTGCAGTCTGAGAATGAAGTGCTCTGTTAGGAAAGTATAGAACAATAAGATATGTAATATAAGATGGAGCTAAGTTGTTGATCACGTTGTAGGTTATCAATCAATCAATCAAGTTTATTTGTATAGCACATTTCATCATTTAAAAAAGGCAGTTCATAGTGCTTTACATTAAATAACACAAAATTAAAATTCATTAAAACAACATACAGTCACCTCGAAACCAGTGACAAACATTCCATTTTGCTGGATGCCATCAAATATATTGGTCAATGTTCCATTTATTGTAGTTCAAAAGCAACTCTAAACAGGTGGGGTTTTAGCCTTGGTTTAAAGGAACTCTGTGTTTGTTGTTTTGCAGTTTTCTGGAAGTTTGTTCCAGATTTGTGGTGCGTAGACGCTGAATGCTGCTTCAATTTCTGGTTCCGGTAAGCTGATGGACGGCAGCTTCCTCCAGCTTCTCTGCAGTCTTCAAAAAGCGTTCAATGCAAAAACAACTGGACTTTATTTGTAACAGAAGAAGTTTTGCTCCTCATCCGAGGAGCTTTCTCAATTCAATGAGCAGTGAGTGAGAGATTCAGGTTATAAGGCTGAGTGAGATAAGACACACACACATATGTAGATTTGACATGTCACACCTCCAAACCTTAACAGTAGGGGGCTTTTTAAAGTCTTTGTTTCTCTAATTCACAGATGAGACTCCTCTGTTTCCATCAGGTGTGAAAACTGTCTGGGAATCAGTCTTAAAGTTGCATTATAGGTTTTTGAAAGTGGAAATGTGAGGCTTCCTCCTCTGTTAAGAGATGGCTTTTCTCTTTTAACATAAATTGCTTCCTTCACCCCCCTCTCAAACCATCTGTGTTCTCGGTCCAAAATGTGCACACCTGATGGGAACAGAGGGGTCTCATCTGTGAATTAGAGAAACAAAGACTTTAAGAAGCTCCCTACTGTTAAGGTGTGGAAGTGTGACTTGTCAAATCTACATATGTGTGTGGAGGTGTGACTTGTCAAATCTACATATGTGTGTGTGTCTTATCTCACTCAGCCTTATAACCTGAATCTCTCACTCACTGCTCATTGAATTTAGAAAGCTCCTCGGATGAGGAGCGAAACGTCTTCTGTTACAAATAAAGTCCAGTTGTTTTTGTATTGAACGCTTTTTGAATTCATCATGTCCTGGATGACTGAAAATCTTCACCAGCATATCTTTGCAGTCTTTTATCATCAAACTGACCCGTTTTTCGAATTGGACTAAAGTTGGTCCCCCTTCCAGCCAAATTCAGTTTTCAGTGACTCAGAGAGCTGGACTGGACCATCCAAAAAATTTTTTTGGTCCAGGACTAGCCGCTCCCACCCCACTAGTCACTCTGAGCTCACCCTGCCAACCAGGTGAGACCTCGAGCTGGGGAGTCATTGCACGAAGGTCTGGAGTTTTTTCTCTCTATCTCCAGACCCCAACTAACTTCTCATCCGGACATTTGTGGTTCTACCTGGTTCCAACAAGAATCGCTGGGTGGTATTTTGCTGGCTTTTTGCTGGTTTTCTGCTGGACTGGCCCTCGTGGTGTCTTCATTGGTGTGGGGGAAGTGTACCTGTGTCCCCCGAACTGGACCAGAACCGAACCGAGTTAACTGTGGGGGACTTTGTCTATAATAGAGCCTGTCTCAACCTCAGTGAGCAGCCCGTTACCTTTTAATTTTCAGGTCTCTCTTGTAAATGAGTCCTCGAGGCTCAATGGGATTTACCTGTATAAATAAAGGTTGATTGATAATGAAGAACTGTCCACCTTCGTAAGAATCAATGTGTTCGCCTGGAGGAGACACTCCAATGTTTTGAAGCTCCGCCGGAACTGGACCGAAGCAGAACTGGGCCAGAGACAACTTCAGCCACTTCAGCCTATTCGTCTCTCATGCTGTGGAGCGCTGGAGTCAGACTGGAGCAGAACCAGACCGGACCAGTGATGACTTCAGCCTCTCCGGTCAGTCTCATCGTTTTTCATTGGGGGTGCCTCTCGTGCTGTCGGATGCAGAGTTGACGTGCAGAGAAGCAGAGGAGCAGCGCTGCGTGGTGCTCGAGAGAAGTTCGGAGTTTGCATCAGAGTTGCTACAGGCCTCCATCCAAACTCACATGGATATTAATTAATTTTATTCCGGATCACGTTGTTGTCCCCTGTTGACCTGAAACGAGCTAGGACCATTCCTTTCATTACAGGAGGATTTTCTGGCAGCTTGCTCTGCTATTTACTGCAAATTATATGTTTCTGCCTGTTGATTCTAGATCCAGCTTCTGTTTCTCTTGGGAGCATCCATCCATCTTCACAGGGGGGCTGGAGCCCCCCTCAGCCCAACTCAAACTGCAGTTGGGCCACCTCGTCGGATTTGTTTACCCATTTGATTTGTAGTGTGTCAAGGACAGCTTTGCTGTAGACATACGGTCCCACCAAATGTGTTATTTAAAACATACCATACGATACCATACCAATTTATTTATATAGCACTTAAAACAGCAACAAGGCCAACCAAAGTGCTGTACAAAAGAACCAAACATGCACAGCAGACAGGAAAACATAAAATAGAGATACAGATACAAATAGCAGCAGAAGCTAACTAAAATGGCCAACAGAGTAGAGAACAGACCGGACCAAAACAAATCACACCGTGTTAAAAGCAAGCGAATAGAAGTGGGTCTTCAAGCGAGACTTAAAGACTGAGAGTGTGGGAGCCTGCCGGACACTCAGATCCAGAGCGAGTCCTGATAGAATAATCCACACTTTGCCTCAGTTTCACCAAAATCCCTGCATGCTTCCCACGACGTCTGCGACGTTTCCTCCATGGAGAAAGGCCAGGGTCACGCAGAAGGAATGCAGGAATCTCAGATAGGACCGGTTGGGGAGAGTGCAGGCCGCTGTTCAAAAACTCCGCGGGAATTTCAGCAAATGTACGGAGCTCCAAAAGTGCCCGACGATCATACTGAAAATATGACTCAGCACACTGCACAAACCATTGTAAAAATAACAAAAATAAAATACAAGCAGAGAGCGAGAGACGGGCAGCCCTACACACCAGCGCCATCTTGGAATGTGAAAACATGAAAACATGTACATTCCTACTAACTGTAGTGAAAGTGGGAGACAGCTTACTGTACCTTCACTACTAACTATTTAAATATAATGGGTTCTTTCTTTTTCGAGTTAAATTAATGCCATGTGACGAAGTAACTGTGAGGATTGTTTAATCAGTGACAAGAGACGTTAATTTTCCTTTGACCTACCAGAATAAATGCGGTCATTTATTTAACAGAATCAAAATTTAACATCAAAACATGTACACGTGATTAGCTGATCTGGTTCTGATTAATAAAACTTGGCACGCTTTACTAATAAGACAACAAGACATTTCTCAAGGCATCTAGATTACTGGCAAAATAGAAGAGTTTAAAGGAAGGAGTTTAGAGGTTTAAAGAAGAGATGGGTGAAGAGAGGTGTATGTTGTTGACCAGAATTGGCACACTTCTTTCAATCACCAGCTCAAACGTCCGGTACACTTAGCACGTGACAACTCGTTACCTTCGCAAGAGATAAATCAGCTCCGGTATCGGGTCCATTTCAACGCTACCTTCCAGCGTCTACGGTTAGAGCGGCTGGTCATCGTCAGAAGTCGTGTCGATTTACTCCTTTCAACAAACAGGCTCAGCTCCCTTCGAAGTTGGAGGCGTTACACCCGGGTGGAATCACAGCAAGACGCTGTGACTCAGTCAGAGATCCCACTCAGGAGTGGAAAACTCCCGAAGGCTTGAGAAGACTCCATCAAAGACTGATTCCAACTCAGATCCAAGACTTCAGAAGAACTCAGAAAAACTTGAGAAGACAGAGAAGATGGAGAAGACTTCGTAGACGGAGTAGACTGAATAGTTCCAGGAAGTGTCGACTTTTAAAAGTGTTCTTACTTCAGGTCACTTAGGACTTCCTGATTGGTTGAAACAACCAACAGGGGGTGGTTCTAGTGATGTCAGAGGGTTATTAAAAGTCAACAGAGAGTGCAAGAATGTTTAGGAACGTTTAGTACAGACAGAGAAATTTTATGGCGAAGTGAGAGGAACGCAGATGCCAGTGTTTCTCTTTTTACCGTCTGCTAGGTTTAAAACTGTAGTGAACTTGACCTGATGTCAAATCTGACCAGATGGACAGAAACTGTTATTTCATTGATCTGCATCCAGAAATATAGTTTGACCCATCCTGAGACTTTCTTTCTTGAATTAATCAAGTGGAAAAGACAATTCTCTATGATCATTACTATTTTACAAATGTTTGATAATCAAATTGTGTTAGTTCAAACAATGTTTACAGCTT